ACAAGACCATTTCAGAGCCGGAAGGATGATAGGATGGAGACATTGGTCTTCTTGGCGAGCACCCTGGGTCCAGTTCATATAGAGTCCCTGGTCCCATTGATGTTACGTGACACTTACTCGTATTGGAAAGGGCGACCCCACAATGGATTCATATAGCCACTCTTACACACCTGCACCAACGTTTCCCAAAGTGTCACCCTTGATAAGTGGCACTTTGGCAAAGTGACACTTGCCGACTGGTCTTTCTATATGAACTGGGCCCGGCCCTGGTGAGTTGCCGGGGCTGACTGACCAAAGGATAGGCGAGCAGCCCCAAGCACTCACCGCACCCGGCTACGGGTGAGCTCGGCTTACGGGCAATCCCAAATGGGATAAAGTTTCCCGTCCAGTCCGGATCAGGGGGTTGCGGCGTGGAGGAAGATTTGAGTTTCCTGAGGATATTTTGAATACAGAAGCTTTATGAAACATGAAACGCATTTTACATTATTTTAACGGTCAAAACAGCGGCCGATGTCGGTCCGACGTCGCCCCGACGTCGGCCCGACGTCGGCTGGACCTCAGCAATGGATCTCGGTCCGACATCGGCCCGACGTCGGCTGGACCTCGGCTGGACGTCGGAACATGCGGGCATATCCGACATCCAGCCGACGTCGTGCCGAGGTTGGACCGACGTCGGGCCGACGTCGGCATGCCAATACCGAGTTGCCGACGTCACCCCGACGTCGGCCGACGTCGGGCCGACGTCGGCATGTTTACTGGGGCATTCAAGGGTCGTTTTAGGCAAGAAAAAACATACCTATATGGCAATAACTTTTATTTCATGAGATGAATAAAAGCAAAGTCCGAACCGTAGTCGGAGCTGGAGTCAATTTTTGAGTCAGAGTCGGAGTTAGAGTCATAAATCCACCACTTTGCTGCCCTGTTTCCAGATGTGTGACAAGTATGCTTCAAAAGTGTTTCTACCTTGATGGTCTCTAATGGTTTCAAGTGTGTTTTGAGTATGGACTGGGTATCTATTAGTTCCCAATTGGTACCCTAATGGTTTCTAATGGTTTTTAAACATTTGCTTAAATAATAGACTTAGAGGTAATGGGAAGACCTTTGACTGGTTATACTTGATAAGCATCACTACAAGGCCTTGGTTTTTCATTAAATAAAAATGATTCGCAAAATCCACGTCGTTTTCCGCTCATTTAAACAGCACTACTTTTTCTCTGTGTGCCTACGCTGGCGGCGCCCGACCGTTGGCGGCTTGCGCCCGGCAGGCCGCGCCGGCGCCACAGTTCAAACCGGGCGTCGACGTCGGCCGGCCGGCCGGCGCGCCACCGTTTCGCGTTCGCTGGGCCTGGGACTGCCCGCGGTCGACCGGGACCCAGTCCTGCTGTAAAAGAGGAAGCTGAGCAGAATCACGCGGCTGGTGAGTGACTTTTCTTGTGCCTCTGTATGCGATATTCGTTTTACGACTGCAAATACTGAAAATAGTTATTTGAATAAATTTGGTTGCATTTGGCATCCTTGTAAGTACCTACTGAGTTTAACAGAGGTGAGAAAGAGGCTTAAAATTAGCGATCACAATTTATTTTGCCAGCAGAAAATTGTCAGTGCCATATTTGTTGTGGTCAGGCTGCCTAAATGACAATGCAAGTTGCATGAGTTTAAAGTTATTATATTGTGATATTTGACAAATGACCCTGTGTGGTAATCAATTTGATCCCATCGCCCAGCCCAATTAACCCGTGCTGTCCTGTACTAACTGTTGCAGGCACGAACTTGCACCAGACAGACGCCGTCTACCGGTTCTACACGGGTCCAGATGGGTTGCATGCCTGCATTATAGCTACGTTCTGACTTCTGAAAATTCTGAGGGCTGTTCACGGGCCCTGTGTGCGGTCGGACCGCACACAGCCTCCAAGCTCCGCCCACTGCGTCCCTACGTCAGCCTTCCGTCACCGCACGCGTATATATCTTTCCTTTTTTTTTTTTTTTTTTTTTTTTTTTTTTGCTCGGTCGGCCTAGTGCCATTCCCGAGCAGGGGGCAGTTACTCCGGCAATTTTCGCCGGGCAGCAAGTGTTACGTTAAACCGGTTTATGTGAACCCGGTAGCAAAAACAACGTGGGATCCTATCTTAATGTGGAACAAAGCTAAGGGAGGTACTTACGTGTACAGCCAAAGAGCCGAGATGTCTGGAGTCGCAAACACAACAGTGGGAATGACTTTTATTAACAATACATGATAGACATGAACACTTGTGAGCTGGTGTCAGTGTAATGGAGCCGGGAAGCTTTCATCGCACTGACAGAAGGTATAAGACCTTCTAGGCTCCAGCCCCCCGGCGGGGCCTTGTTGTGGGGTGTAATGGTCGGGAGAAAAAGTCCTAAATAATAAAAAACCCGACGCCTAACGCAAAGGGCAAAAACCTCGCACCTAAGCCAAAACGGCGCGAGGGAAAAAGCCCTGTAACCGCGATTAATTAATGTGTGAGTTTGGGGGTGAGCCGGGAGACGAGGGCTCTGGTTATCGTTTTAGGGGCGGCAGCCGCGGCCCTAACACGCTAAAGGCTCTTGATGATCCGAGCGTCGGCGAGAAAGACGAACAGAAGGTCGTGGATATCCGGATGAGTGTCGCCCAGGAGAGTCGGAAGGTCGAGAGAGAGTCCATGTGTGTTAATGTATTGTACTATATGTCTGCGGTGTTGGTGTAGGTGTGGGCAGTGGAGGAGGAAGTGTGAGATGGTATAGCGTGGGTGGTCGCGGCAGTGGTGGCATATGGGTGGAGGTGCTCTGTCCAGGATGTAGTTGTGGGTGAGTTGTGTGTGGCCGAGCCGGAGCCTGGCTAGGACTCTCTCTTTGATCCTTGTGTTTTGATGGGAAGAGTAGAAATGGCAAAGTTTCGGTTTAATGGAGAAGAGATGTGGTGTATGATCATCTATCCAGCATTTTTGGCGGTATCTCTGGAAGGCACGGAAGAGCGAAGACAGAAAATCCGGAAGGGGGAGAGCGAGATGATTTCGAGATGGGAGATGAAGACCTTCTTTGGCTAGCTTGTCCGCTTTTTCATTCCCCTGTATTCCAACGTGGGACGGAATCCACAGGAGAATGACGTGTTTGTTTTCATCGGTAAAGCCAATAATCATCTTTTTTATTTTATAAACGATTTCGTTTTTTTCCATTTTTCTGTGAGCTATTGCCTTTACCGATGAAGCTGAGTCTGTGCAGATCACAGCCTTTTCTATGTTTTTCGACGAGACATATTTGAGTGCTGAGTGAATGGCTATCAACTCAGCACTAAATATGCTATGGTCGTCGTGTAGCCTACTTGTTTTGTTATGATGGTCAGATGTGACAGCGGCTGCCGTCCTCCCGTCACAAACTGAACCATCTGTATATATGTATGCATAGTCTTTATGTTCTTCTTTATGCTCATAGAAAAGTTGAATGCTTTCTTCTTTTGTGACTTTTGATTTTGCCTCTGCGTACAGGAATGCAATATTCTCTATGGCTGGCAGAAAGAAAGAAGAGATGGGTGGCCGATGAAAAATAGATGGAAAATCCAACTGGAAATCACTAAGTGTCCTTTCTATGCGATAGGCGATTATCGGGTATTTGAGTTGGGCCGTTGTGGGAGGGTCGTCCGTATATCGATTGGAGACAATGCGGTGCGAAGGCGAATAAGGGGACAAGAAAGTGCGCGCATAGAAGCGAAGGAGTTGGAGTTTACGGCGGTGAGAGAGAAGAGGAATATTACATTCTGCGTGGAGAGCCTTGATATTTGTGGTGCATTGGGCTCCTGTAACTATACGCAGGGCCTTATTTTGTATAACTTGAAGTGATTCGATCTGATTAGAAGCTATATCATCAAATAGAAAACTGTTGTAATCCAGGATAGGACGGATTAGGGAAGTGTATAGGTTAAGGAGGGTGCTGCGATCAGCACCCCAATCCTTTCCTGCTATACACTTAAGTATGTTGAGGCGCCTAGTGCAACGCATTTTAACGTCTTGAAAGTGATGTTTAAAGGAGAGTCTACTATCTAGTGTGATGCCGAGGTATTTGAACGTTTTAACGTATTTGATAGTTTGGTTCTTTACTTTAAGTTCGGTATCAAATTTAAAACGGGACTTATGGGAGAATATAAGTGCTACTGTTTTGCTGGGTGACAAGACTAGGCCCCATTTATCGCACCAGCTATTAATATCCTCCATTGCGTTTTGAACGGAGGCAAAAGCCGAGTCAATGTTTCTTCGCGTTACCCAAATGGCCACATCATCGGCAAAAATAGAATGCTTAAGGCTACTAGGTGGATTTTGAAAAAGGTCGTTAATCATAATAAGGAAGAGGGTTGGGGAGAGGACACTGCCCTGAGGGAGGCCGTGATCCTGATTAAGATTGGGAGAAAATGTGTTACCGCATCGTACGTTAAATGTTCTATCTTTGAGGAAATTAGAGATATAATGGGCCATGTGGCCGCGAATACCTGTCTTATGAAGTTTGATCAGAAGGGCTTGTTTATTTACTTTATCAAAGGCGTTTTGAAAATCAATGAAAACTGCAAATGTATACATGTCATTTTGGAAGCCCTTCTGGATGTCATCAATGAGGTGGACTATATTGTCTGCCGTGCAGCGGCCAGACCTAAATCCTGTTTGATGTGGAGAGAGGAGGTAGTTACCTTCTAGATATGCCCTAATCCGTCCATTGACCATATGTTCTGTCAATTTAGCAGCGCAACTGGTTAGGGATATAGGTCTATAACTAGAGGGGGAGGAGGGTGGTTTGGAGGGTTTAAGGATGGGGACGATGGTACTGTTTCTCCAGCTCTCGGGGTACAAATTGTTTTCCCATAGATTATTGATTACTATCAAAAGGTTTTCAAGGCCGGATTCAGAAAGGTTTTTGAAGAAAGGATAGGCTATCTGATCCGGCCCTACCGACGTTTCACCACATCGAGATATGGCGTGTCTAAGTTCGAACAAGTCAAAGTGCTTGTTATAATTTTCAGTATTTGCTGAGTCGAAGGAGAGGGTGTCGAGTGTTGTGTTAAAGCTGTCATGTTGTACTTGTGTGTATTGTTGAGCAGAAGATATTCGTGCGTAATGTTGGGCGAATTGTGTCGCAACTTCAAGGGGAGTGGCGTAGTGGGTGTTGTTAATGTAGAGATGAGGAATTTTGTAAGTTGTGCTGCGCCTTGTAGAAAAAACTCTAATTAGCGACCAGATTTTAGAAAGGGGAGTAAATCTATTAAAGTTGTTAGAGAAGGAGTGCCATCCTTCTTGTTTTGCTTTAAGTATTATTTGTGAAGCATCATATCGGGCCTTGCGGAGGGCATTTTCATGGTAATCGCAAATACATTTGTTAAAGACTCGTAAGGCACGCTTCCGCAGAGCTACAGCTCGATTGCAGTCAGCGTTCCACCAAGGGGCAGCTTTGTTTTCACGTGGGGGGTGGGTATGGGGAATATTTTGGTGAGCAGCAGCGAGAATCACGTTTAAAAAGGTGTTGATGTCAGGGGGAGGGGTGGGAGTGTGTTCATCTATATGTTTTTGAAAGGAGGCCCAATCAGCTTTCTTAAAGTTCCAACGAGGAAGAAATGTAAAATTGGCTTGTCCTGAAGGGACATTAAGTTGATAGTGAATGGGATAATGGTCGCTAAACAATGTATCATCTCCGACGTGTTGAGTGAAAAGTGTCGCGGTGTTAGTGTCTGTGAAGGCCAAGTCGATGACGGAGTGTATGACTTGACCTTGGTTGCGTCTGGTGAAAGTGGGTGTGCGGTTGTTAATGCAAATGAGATCAAGTGAATCCATTATCTTATCAATTAGTGTTCCGCGCGCGTTGTTCGTTGTTGAGCCCCAGGATCTGTGGTGGGCATTAAAATCTCCTAGTATTAGGCAGGGGTGGGGGAGCTGGACAAACAATTGGCGGAGTTCAGAGGAGGAAAAGCGGTGGCTAGGGGAAAGGTACAGGGAAAGGATGGCAAGGTCATGTTGCGCTATTTTGACTTGAGCTGCGACCGCGTTAAGCGTGGTGCGGAGCTGAATTTCGTGGTGCAAGAGGTTATTAGCAATATAAAGGGCCGAGCCGCCTCGGCGGGGTTTTTCATTTACATTATTTGTATATAAAGTATATCCACGTATGTTAAAGTTGTAATTAGAGGAATCTGAGTCCAGAAAATGGGTCTCCTGAATGGCGGCTATCAACGGTTTTTTATTTAATATATAGTTCTTGAATTCGCCCCAGTGGCTCACTAGAGAGGAAGTGTTCCACTGGAGGACGAATTCATCAGATCGATGCATGTTTTATGTGTGTTGAGTGTTAAACAGATTTTTCACGAGCAGCCGCCGCTGCGGCTCATATCTTTCCCGAGCGAAAAAAACAAACATTCCAGTTTTTTGGCGATTTTGTTTCAATTGTGGTGGTTCTGTTCGAAGGTCCATACAGATGGTGTTTGCGCAAAATTTCTAACGGAAAATCACCGACTATTTAGTGTCGACAGCTGCATATTTACTTTTTGAACACGCCTCCATCACTGCTTTTTATTGGCTGTCTGTGGTTGGTATTGGGCTGTGTTGCTGTATATACCGTGTGTTGCTGGGTGATTGTGATAATATTTTGATGATTAACCTTTTTATTCAGCGGTAGAGACCCACAAGTTGACTCCATTATAAGTATTGTCTCTCTATCATGAAACAGACTCAGAAACCTTGGCATGAATGCTATCAGGCTCTCAAGAGAATGTTGAAATTCAGGTCTCAAAAGATTAAAATTACAATAATGAAATGTTTCACCTACCTTCCAAGCCATAAACACTCATACTGGTACTGGATGGAACTTAAAATAAAAAACAGGGGTGGATAATTAGGCCAGGGTTTGTAGCACCCCCTGGGATTTTCCACCAATGAAGTACCTATATGCTGCAGAGACCAGGGCCCTGTTTCACCGTTGATAGCAGCACGCTACTATCAAATTGCGCGAGCTGACGTAATGTGATGAGGTCACACTAATGACATTTCGTGTAATCCGTGAGCTGCGTTTGGAACAGAGTTGCTGTTTCGTTGAATGCGATGTGTTTGATCGCACGGCCGTGAAGCTGTTGGCAGCAATATTTAATGACATCACACAGATTGACGGCGTCATGGTTTGCTGATGTTTCCATGGAAACCCAATTTGTTACGTGTGATAGCAGCGTGCTGCTATCACCGGTGAAACAGGGCCCAGAATAGCATGGTCTGTGTTGCACATATTGATGCTGAAGCTATACCTATCAAATGTCTTTCAGATAACCTACCGAGTGTTCACATTCATCACAAATGCAGTCATTCTCCGGTATATTACATCTGATGTCCTGGGCATCCCGCATCATCAATGTCAGGTATGCACCCTTTACTTTTTTCCTATCATGCATCAGTGATGCATCCAATGTCTGAGTTCCTAAGTAGAACATGTGCTATTTTCTCACCAGAACTGTAGTGTGTACTCCATAAGAAAAATGCTAATTTTTCGTATGTTTCTAGTTGAACAGAGTTTGTTCTTATTTTCTAGTTATTGTATAAAATGAAGTAATAAACGGTTATCTTCATAAGCATGTACCGAATTACCTGTTCCTTTTGACTGACATTCAGTTCTTTATTTAAGTGTAGTTTTAAAGTAGGTAAATCAATTCTGTTCAAAGTTCTGAAGCCCTAGTCTGCTTCCCAGGCTGGCTCTACTCTACTCGACTGCCACCTTTGTCAGTGTGGAGGCTTTCCGTCGGGCGGCGCTGGGCGTGACAGAGAGCAGCAAGTGGCGCCAGGCCATCAACTTGGTGTGGCTCAGGTACATCGCTCCGGTCCGGACATCAGTTTAACTCGAAATGGTCACAGCTGTTGGGAGAAGCTGCATATCGGCAGTTCCCAGCAAGAACATCCCAAGTGTCAAATTTTCGAAACTGTGATTTTCATACCATTCGACTCAGCTCGACGAGCTGAGTCGAATGGTATAGAAATCTCAATTTCAAAAATTTGACACTTAGGATGTGCTTGCTGGGAACTGTCGATATAGGTACCTACTTCAAAAACAGGTGTTGTTGTGGAATGTGGACTGTGGAGGCAGTCAATGGGTAGCAGCTAATCAGCACAGTTCTGTTGAGTAGTAGTGGTTTTAAAAGGTCATTGCCTCGATAAATGACGTTTATTTCTTCAGATGTGGGGATCGTCATAGGCACATAAGTATGCAATGTTTTATTGCCAGTGAATTGAGTGTATTACAAAAGAGCAGTGTTGTAATTGCCTCTGACTGACGCCCCGCTCCCCTGTTAGCGTGCCCGTGTCAGCGGCGGTGTCGGCGGCGCTGGCCGGCCTCTGGCTGCACGCGCTCAGCCAGCCGGCGCCCGAGGTGACCTCAGAGTACCGTCTGGGCGTGTGGGTCACCGCGGCCATGGTCGTACTGGAGACGGCCGCCCAGCCGCTGGTCATCCTGGCGCAGGCCATGCTCTTTGTCAAATGGAAGGTGAATGACGGCGGTGGGGTGACGCAGAGGAGAGGAACAGGGTGTCAGGGGAAAATATTTGAGGCGCGTCGGTTCCCCGATGACTCTGCTATATCAGTGAAATTATATCCGAAGCTCAAATCGCCTGCTGTGACAGTCGTTTGCGGATCGTCGATCGTTCACACCGCGTTGAAGTACTGTATTCTCCCTACCTTGCTGGCATATGTGGATTATCTCTGACTCTCTTATCGTCTTCTCGCCCCTCCCCATCTCCTCTCACCACTCTCTCACCCACCCGCTCTCCCTCTCTCCCAAGGTGGTAGCCGACATGGTCAGTCTGTGCAGTCGGGTGGCGCTCAAAGCCTGGCTGATCGCCCTGTACCCGTCCCACGCCATCTGGGCCTACTGTGTGGGCCACGCGGTCAGGTCAGCTCCGCTCTCCTCGTGGTCATCTATTACGGCACCCTGCTCTGGCACGTCCGCTCACCGGATAACTGTCTACCGGTGAAGTCGGCGAGCGAGCTGGGACCCAGACTGGTGCCGGGACAGGTGAGGCCAGTGAACTATTTGTAAAGGGGCGGGATTTCAAATGTAGTCAAGCGTTTTCGCGGTCATAGTGGTTTCTTTTGGCCAAGTCGTCGCATTCTTCGTTTCATTTAGCTAGAACTTTAGGTCTAAGGCCTCTTAGATTGCAGTCAAACGGTATTAAGACCTACCTGTGTTACAGACAGCTCACGGCAGCGCTGGATCGAGTATCCTCAGAAATAGAGCCAAAGTTGTGCTGCCACGTTTTCCCAGCAACCGCGTCTGCCTCTAACATTTCCTGTCGCGACGGTGGCGATGTGACCCTTGCTGCCATCTCTCTTCACTGATCAGTAATACCTCTCCTCCCCTCCCCGTCAGCCGGCGCTGGACCGTGACCAGCTGGCCCTCACCTGGAGCTTCTTCAAACAAGGCCTGCTGAAGCAGTTGCTGACGGAGGGCGAGCGCTACCTGATGACCGCCTTCCACCTGCTCGACTTCTCCGAGCAGGGCCTGTACGACGTGGTGGCCAACCTGGGCAGCCTGGCGGCCCGCGTCCTCTTTCAGCCAGTCGAGGAGAACGCCTACGTTTACTTCTCGCGCACAGTGGAACGGGGAAAGGTAGGTGGCAACGTGGCTGATTGTGTGGTAGGAGGTGTTTGATGTTAGTTTTTTTTTGTGTGTTTTTTTTTACTGAGGAGTAGTGGCATTTGGTGAAAATATCAGTAACGTTGACCACAGTGTGTCGATGCCCGGTGAGGCGCCGAAAAAGCTGTAAGCACACACTCCTGATATTAGCCAATTATACTCGTAGCTACTCTTCATCTCCGCTATAAGTCCTTACTGCCAGTTGTTGTGATCTTCATCTTGGTATCTTTTTTGTCATTCGGTTTGTTTTGTTGCCCAGCTTCTATCCTTCTTGCCATCTCGCCAGTCACTGGAAGGAGACAGTTTGGCACCTCTCCTCCAGCCGGTGCCTGACAGCTCCCTCCCCCTCCAGCCGGTGTCTGCGGTGGCGGGCCGGGTGCTATACGACCTACTCCGCGCTATGAGTCTGACCCTACCCCCTCTCCCTGCAGCCGGTGTCTGCCGCGGCGGGCCGGGTTCTGCACGACCTGCTGCGCGCCATGAGCCTGCTCGGTCTGGTTGCCGTCACGTTCGGCTGGAGCTACTCCCACCTGCTGCTGCGGCTGTACGGAGGCGCCCTGCTGACCGCCGGTCCGGCCGTCAGTCTGCTGCGCGCCCAGTGCGCCTACGTGCTCCTACTGGCGGTGAACGGAGTGCTGGAGTGCTGCACGTTCGCGGTGATGCGCCAGGAACAGATCAATGGGTAAGTGCCGTGGAGGGTTTATGGAAAGCAGTCGGGAAATGGTCGGTGGCTTAGTAAGGAGTGAGGTAAATTAGTCGGTAGAGGCTGAGCGGATTAGGAAATGACGTTCTCATGTTGGTTTTTGTTGTTAGACTGCCTTTTGCGGCTAAAGGCGAAGTGGAAAGGCTGGCCAGTCGTGTCGATAAAGTGAAGCTAGGAACGTTACTATCGGGCGCTTTGACAGGTGTTGTGGCGTTTTCCGGTGTTTCAGGTATAACCGGAAGATGGTGCTGCTATCTGTGATATTCGTCATCTCGACAGGGATCTTTACTAGGCTATTCGGCGGGGTTGGATTTATCCTCGCCAACTGCGTCAATATGCTGACCAGGATATACGTTTGGTGAGTTTTTGTGTTTTTGAATAGATTTGATTTGTCCTAATTGGTCTAATTATTTACATCATTATCCAATCCGTCATGGATAGTCAATATCACGCTTTATTCGCCGATCTCGATATACTTGGATCTCGTTACTTAACCCGTCCATCGACTGATACGAATGTCTGCTGTCCCCAATAGTGTCCTGTACCCCTCTCAATTATCATCCCGTCCCCTCCCCGTATGCTGCTGGTTCCCGATACAGTGTCCCGTGCCACTCTCAACCATCATGTCTTCGTCCCATTTTCTGCTGCTGCTGCCCGCTCGCCCCGTCCAGTGTGTTGCTGGCGCTTGATGCAGTGTCCCGTACCTCTCTCACCCTGTCCCCGCCCCGTGTGTCGCCAGTTACCGGTTCGTGGCCGGTCTGCCGCTGGAGCCGGCGGTGTCCGTGCCGCCGCTGCTCGGTCTCCGCCCGCTGCCCGCCGTGGCTGCCGCGCTGGTGACCGCCGGCCTGCTGGCAGCCGGCTCCGAGAGCTGGCTGTACCCCAGCTCCGCCGCCGCCCATGTGGCTGTGGGCGCGCTCTGTGGGGCCGCCCTGGTGGCCGCGGCGGTGTACAGCGAGCCCCGCCTCCTCCAGGCGGTCAGGGAGCGGGTCGGGGATAAACTGAAGCGCAGCTAGCGGGGAGTGCTACTCACATGGTCACGCAGGGAATAGGGGTTGTTTTGTTGTGAGTTGAATATACACCGTGCCTGTCAGTAGAGTGGATCTATCAATTTTAAGACTGGTGCGACTGCAGGGGGCGTTGTGGCTATCGCCCATTTGAGAGCTGGACAGTGCTTGAAAGCAACTTCCTACCATGAATTTTGGCAATCAGATCCTAATTATAGCCATTTGTGATGAACGATGCAGGGGACGGCAAGGGAGGTGTAGGGATGGCACCTCCCTGGAGCTTATGGTAATCGCGGAAGCCCATTACCGTTTACCACCACTGCACAGCCAAAGTGGTAAGACCGGAGAGACGCGATCAGGCCGGATTGCCAGTTGTCGATTCCTCTATCGTTGTAGAGGTTGCTTGCTAAGTGAGATGACTGCTTTTCGTAGAGGGCGGTAAAATCGTGGCCGGTTAGCGTCTGGTGGGGCTTGTAGGCTAATGATGGGCACGACCAGTTGCTGTATTGAGTGTATGCTATATGTGGTGACAGCGGCGTTCCTGAGCGTAGGGCGTATCTCTTGCTCTGAAGTCCAGAAGTCCTTATCGTTCTTGTGCATTCACTTTGTAAGTGCCTGATGTCAGTGTCAGTGTTTGTCAGTGTTTCATTCTGTAGCAGACATGCAGTCATATTTGGTTAAATAGAACCTTGCAGTCTGAGGCAGTCTTTTCATTACAGTACCTCATTACAGCATCTCATTCATTACAGTTCAATATTTAGAAATGCAAGACATTACACATTAGGGTCGATCGGGCATAGAAATACAAAACAACAGTATACGCTCGCTGGCTATTATTCTGAGACTCAGCATTGAACCTGCCATCACTACAATACATGAGGCGACAGGTGTAGAGGTGTTGTCATAGGTACTCATTTATCAAGTTCTGCTGACTTGGCCCACAAGTTGACTCCATTATAAATATTGTCTCTTTATCATGAAACAGACTCAGAAACCTTGGCATGAATGCTCTCAGGCTCTCAAGAGAATGTTGAAATTCAGGTCTCAAAAGATTAAAATTACAATGATGAAATGTTTCACCTACCTTCCATTGCCAAAAACACTCATACTGGTACTGGATGGAACTTAAAATAAAAAACAGGGGTGGATAATTAGGGGTTTGTAGCATCCCCTGGGATTTTCAGAATTCTCTACCGCTGAATAAAGAGGTTAATCATCAAAATATTTTCACAATCACCCAGCAACACACGGTATATACATCAACACAGCCAACACAAACACAGCCCAATACCACTGACAGCCAATAAACAAACAGTGATGGAGGCGTGTTCAAAAAGTTAATATGCAGCTGTCGACACTAAATAGTCAGTGATTTTCCGTAAGAAATTTTGCGCAAACACCATCTGTATAAGCCTTCGAACATAACCACCACAATTGAAACAAAAGCGCCAAAAAACTGGAATGTTTGTTTTTTTCGCTCGGGAAAGATATATACGCTCACCGCACACATGTAACGGAAGTTGGCACAGATTCAGCACAGATTCAGCACAGCACAGATTCGGTAGGGGGAAAAAAGGCCCCGGTAGAGGGAAACCTTTATGACCAGTTTTTCCCTAGAAATGACGTCACAAACGGGTAAAAAACCACACCAATCGAAAGCTCTCGTTTACCCAGACCCAGTCCTGCAGTAAAATTTCACTTTTTCCCCATAGGAAAGTTTTTACGGGAAAATCAAAATTTTGGGTCAATGGGGGGTCCCCTCCGATTTCGTTCAAAATCGGCACACGGGTGCCCCACCACCAGACGAGAAACTTTTCCCAAAACGGTCCCCGTTGCATTGACGTTTAAGGCCCGTAAAGCCCCCTAGACTCGTAAAGTATCCGTAAAATCGCCTTTGTACGGACCAAAAAGTGGTGCTATGGTAAAAATGGGTATCAATCGAAAGCTCTCGTTTACCCAGACACAGTCCTGCAGGAAAATTTCACTTTTTCCCCATAGAAAAGTTTTTACGGGAAAATCAAAATTTTGGGTCAATGGGGGGTCCCCTCCGATTTCGTTCAAAATCGGCACACGGGTGCCCCACCACCAGACGAGAAACTTTCCCCAAAACGGTCCCCGTTGCATTGACGTTTAAGGCCCGTAAAGCCCCCTAGACTCGTAAAATATCCGTAAAATCGCCTTTGTACGGACGAAAAAGTGGTGCTATGGTTAAAATGGGTATCAATCGAAAGCTCTCGTTTACCCAGACCCAGTCCTGTAGGAAAACTTCACTTTTTCCCCATAGGAAAGTTTTTACGGGAAAATCAAAATTTTGGGTCAATGGGGGGTCCCCTCCGATTTCGTTCAAAATCGGCACACGGGTGCCCCACCACCAGACGAGAAACTTTCCCCAAAACGGTCCCAGTTGCATTGACGTTTAAGGCCCGTAAAGCCCCCTAGACTCGTAAAATATCCGTAAAATCGCCTTTGTACGGACCAAAAAGTGGTGCTATGGTAAAAATGGGTATCAATCGAAAGCTCTCGTTTACCCAGACACAGTCCTGCAGGAAAATTTCACTTTTTTCCCATAGAAAAGTTTTTACGGGAAAATCAAAATTTTGGGTCAATGGGGGGTCCCCTCCGATTTCGTTCAAAATCGGCACAAGGGTGCCCCACCACCAGACGAGAAACTTTCCCCAAAATGGTCCCCGTTGCATTGACGTTTAAGGCCCGTAAAGCCCCCTAGACTCGTAAAATATCCGTAAAATCGCCTTTGTACGGACGAAAAAGTGGTGCTATGGTTAAAATGGGTATCAATCGAAAGCTCTCGTTTACCCAGACCCAGTCCTGTAGGAAAACTTCACTTTTTCCCCATAGGAAAGTTTTTACGGGAAAATCAAAATTTTGGGTCAATGGGGGGTCCCCTCCGATTTCGTTCAAAATCGGCACACGGGTGCCCCACCACCAGACGAGAAACTTTCCCCAAAACGGTCCCGTTGCATTGACGTTTAAGGCCCGTAAAGCCCCCTAGACTCGTAAAGTATCCGTAAAATCGCCTTTGTACGGACCAAAAAGTGGTGCTATGGTAAAAATGGGTATCAATCGAAAGCTCTCGTTTAACCAGACACAGTCCTGCAGGAAAATTTCACTTTTTCCCCATAGAAAAGTTTTTACGGGAAAATCAAAATTTTGGGTCAATTGGGGGTCCCCTCCGATTTCGTTCAAAATCGGCACACGGGTGCCCCACCACCAGACGAGAAACTTTCCCCAAAACGGTCCCCGTTGCATTGACGTTTAAGGCCCGTAAAGCCCCCTAGACTCGTAAAATATCCGTAAAATCGCCTTTGTACGGACGAAAAAGTGGTGCTATGGTTAAAATGGGTATCAATCGAAAGCTCTCGTTTACCCAGACCCAGTCCTGTAGGAAAATTTCACTTTTTCCCCATAGGAAAGTTTTTACGGGAAAATCAAAATTTTGGGTCAATGGGGGGTCCCCTCCGATTTCGTTCAAAATCGGCACACGGGTGCCCCACCACCAGACGAGAAACTTTCCCCAAAACGGTCCCCGTTGCAATGACGTTTAAGGCCCGTAAAGCCCCCTAGACTCGTAAAGTATCCGTAAAATCGCCTTTGTACGGACCAAAAAGTGGTGCTATGGTAAAAATGGGTATCAATCGAAAGCTCTCGTTTACCCAGACACAGTCCTGCAGGAAAATTTCACTTTTTCCCAATAGAAAAGTTTTTACGGGAAAATCAAAATTTTGGGTCAATGGGGGGTCCCCTCCGATTTCGTTCAAAATCGGCACACGGGTGCCCCACCACCAGACGAGAAACTTTCCCCAAAACGGTCCCCGTTGCATTGACGTTTAAGGCCCGTAAAGCCCCCTAGACTCGTAAAATATCCGTAAAATCGCCTTTGTACGGACGAAAAAGTGGTGCTATGGTTAAAATGGGTATCAATCGAAAGCTCTCGTTTACCCAGACCCAGTCCTGTAGGAAAACTTCACTTTTTCCCCCATAGGAAAGTTTTTACGGGAAAATCAAAATTTTGGGTCAATGGGGGGTCCCCTCCGATTTCGTTCAAAATCGGCACACGGGTGCCCCACCACCAGACGAGAAACTTTTCCCAAAACGGTCCCCGTTGCATTGACGTTTAAGGCCCGTAAAGCCCCCTAGACTCGTAAAGTATCCGTAAAATCGCCTTTGTACGGACCAAAAAGTGGTGCTATGGTAAAAATGGGTATCAATCGAAAGCTCTCGTTTACCCAGACACAGTCCTGCAGGAAAATTTCACTTTTTCCCCATAGAAAAGTTTTTACGGGAAAATCAAAATTTTGGGTCAATGGGGGGTCCCCTCCGATTTCGTTCAAAATCGGCACACGGGTGCCCCACCACCAGACGAGAAACTTTCCCCAAAACGGTCCCCGTTGCATTGACGTTTAAGGCCCGTAAAGCCCCCTAGACTCGTAAAATATCCGTAAAATCGCCTTTGTACGGACGAAAAAGTGGTGCTATGGTTAAAATGGGTATCAATCGAAAGCTCTCGTTTACCCAGACCCAGTCCTGTAGGAAAACTTCACTTTTTCCCCATAGGAAAGTTTTTACGGGAAAATCAAAATTTTGGGTCAATGGGGGGTCCCCTCCGATTTCGTTCAAAATCGGCACACGGGTGCCCCACCACCAGACGAGAAACTTTCCCCAAAACGGTCCCAGTTGCATTGACGTTTAAGGCCCGTAAAGCCCCCTAGACTCGTAAAATATCCGTAAAATCGCCTTTGTACGGACCAAAAAGTGGTGCTATGGTAAAAATGGGTATCAATCGAAAGCTCTCGTTTACCCAGACACAGTCCTGCAGGAAAATTTCACTTTTTTCCCATAGAAAAGTTTTTACGGGAAAATCAAAATTTTGGGTCAATGGGGGGTCCCCTCCGATTTCGTTCAAAATCGGCACAAGGGTGCCCCACCACCAGACGAGAAACTTTCCCCAAAATGGTCCCCGTTGCATTGACGTTTAAGGCCCGTAAAGCCCCCTAGACTCGTAAAATATCCGTAAAATCGCCTTTGTACGGACGAAAAAG